TTTTTTTTGCCGATGTTTGACTTTTCAAACTCAGAAATGTTCTTGTTTTTTCTAGAAAATTTCTGGAATTTACTCCTTTTTTCTATCTGCAATGGCTCTAATACACCATCACACCAAGCTGTACTTCAAAGTATATGCAAATCATCATTATTATCACCAATATCAATCAGCTGAACAGTTTGGCTCTCATACAAAGTTCATGACTGCTACTTCTAGTCCATATATTGCTAAATTCCCTTAAAGCGCCTTGAAACCAAACATTAATTTAAAACACTGCTCTTGTGCTGATGTAGGACCCCTGGGAGTGAGGGTGGCTCTGCTGGTGCTGTCTGTAAAGATGCCTGAAGGGTGCGGAGAGGGCGGAGTGGGGGTCCTGATGCAGGCGGAGAGGGTATGATGGGAAGGCGGGGTAAAGAGCTGGCGGAGGCGTGGAGGTCGGCTGAGGAATAAAAGCCTGGCGGTGCAGTACCACCTCCGGACGACAGGGGGCACTCGCGAACTGAGCTTGGTGGGTCAAGTTAGGGAAATTCAAAGCAGCGCTTGCACTTACGTTTGGAAATGAGAGAGTTTTAATTTGTTGGGGAAGCGACGGCAACGCAAAAGTGTTGCAGGAACCATTAGCAGGTAAAGTAGCTAAAGAATATTCAGGTTCTGCATTCGTAGGGAGGATATTTGGATAAATGAAAGCCGCCGAAGTGTGAACTAAACGTCCATTACTTGCATTAGCATCCGGTTCTCCCTGCTGCACCTGAGAGGGAGGAGATGTTTGTGGATTTGACGGACAGGTGAAATCAGCTGGAGTGTGGGGGCTGATTGTTTCCGGGATGAAGGCGCCATTAGCGGGGGAGGAAGAGGAGTCTGAAGGTGGAGGTGTGGGGAAGCTGAAGGAGCTGGAAGAGTAATCCACCGGAGGGAAGGATGGGTGAGGATGGGATGGAGGAGCAGAGAAGCTAGGCTCAAAGGTCGCTTCAGCCATGACGTCCGAGCTGTGAAGGAGAAAATAAACAGTTTATGCACTATTTACGTCTTTCTATAACTGCGTTTTATGGCCATGCGAAAAACAGAAAATCTCTAAGAAAAACTTTACATTTTATGAGTTTTAACAGAACTTTCACCTTTTAAAACTCAGATATAAATGATAAAATTTGAGATTTTTTTCTGTCAAACTTGACTTTTGGATCTCAGCAATTTCCAAGTTTTCTTCTAGAAATGTTTTGAGATCTCAAATTGTGGGTTTTCTCTAGCAATTATTTTACTTTTCAACTCAGAAATTTAAATTTTTTTTTCTTGAAAATTTCTGAGTTTTTTTAGGGTGAAACTGTACTCCCTTTTTTTGTTTACAATGGCCTTAATACGCCATCTCATCTTTCCATATCCATTTAATCAGTTAGTAAAGTGGTGACATTTCTTTTCTTGAATGTTTTAAACCAATATAAAAAAAGCTTATTTTTAACAAATCTGCATGATTCTACAAATATTGTTCCACAGATAACCAACATATTTCCTCACCTTTCAATCATATTGTGCACCGCTTCGTTTTCCTGCGTTTCCTGCAGTGTTACGCTGATGTCTGACATCTGGGAGGTCATGAAGGTCTGGGCCAGATCCAGTGCGGGCTCTGGGACAGGATAGGACGCTTCCTCGGGTCTGAACCCGCAGGAAGAGTCAGGCAGCTGAGGGAGAGAGGCCAGCGCCAGAGTCTGCAGGTCGGAGCTGGAGGCCGCAGATTCAGCAGCTTCACAGGGATCACAGTTCACTTCACGGAAAATGGGAGCAAAAATACAATCATCCATGTTTATTCCACACCAAAAACTGAATTAAAATGATAGTTCCTGTCATTTCTCTCACCAATATCCAGAGTCTCCGTTAGCACGACCATCTTGCGTTTCTGTCTTGCGTCTCTTTGCCTGCAGAAGAAGGAAAAAAGTGAAGTTTAGATAATTTACAATCAAGTTTTTAATTTTGAAGGGAATTTAGTTGCTGGTTACTTTTTGCTGTTCATGCCATCCTCTCGAAAGCCTTTAGCAAAAGGGTTGGAGTTGATCTTCAGCTCTGTGATCTGTAAACAAAGTTATTATTTTGACTCCTTTCCACAGAAACTCTGAAGTTCCTTGCAAAAGTATTGATCTTTTTTTACATTTTGTCAAAATAAATTCATAAACTTTAATGGATTTCACTGGGATTTCTGTAACTGACCAACAAAATGCATCAGTATCTGCTTTTACATTGGCAATATAATCACACAATTAGACATTTTGAAAATAAATTTGATTAATGGAAACACACCAAGTTAAAAAAAATAGTTTTTTGATAAGTTTTAGTACTAGGATGAGGTGATTTGTTTTGGTCATATCAAAATCGGTTTATTTTTGCTAAACTGAATGGAAACTTTTTTTTTTTCTTCCATCACTAGAGTCACATGATTAACAACTGATAATTGCCACTGGAGCAAACCAGGAAGAAGACGACGACAGGAAGTGGTAGGAGGATCGTGGCGCTGCATGTTTTTTAATGACTCACCTGTGATTTTAGTTGAGTTTACTTGTTGGAAACATCAAAATTGTGAAATTGTATTCTTTCTACATTAGCGCAATAGTAACAAAGTGTTGCGTACATTTGTAATGAAAACACAGCTACTGTGACGAGCAAAGGAAATAATAGACGGATTTCAAAGTTTTTGCAATAAAAAAAAATCTGAGAAGTGTGGAATGCATTTGTTTTCAGCCTTGTATTATACTCTATTATCAAGTTTAATAAAAATAAAGCCGTACCTTGTTGTTCTGGTAAGCTGTGACTGTGATAAACTGGGTCTCTGGGAAAACGAAGCTGTGCTGTCCTCCGCCCCACCGTAACATGTCTCTGGCTTCGATCACATGGACTCTGGGCTGGTAGCGGTGCAGCGAGTGCAGGATTATCTTGAAGCAAAACCAAAAGAAGATTCACTAAAAACATCAAAATCTAATGAAGCATGTTGCTATGACAAAGTATTGGGGCCATTGTAGACAGAAAAAATTATAAATTTCCGCCAAAAAACAAAAAAATTTTGAGATGAATCTCAAATTTTGTAGAAAAAACAAGAACATTTCTGCATTTGAAATGTTGAGAATTTGCTTAAAAAGAACAAAATTTGAGATCAATCCAAGAAATTTTCTAGCAAAAACAAGAAAATTTCTGAGTGTAAAAAGTCAAAAAATTTGCTGGAGAAAAACTCAGGCGTTTTTAGATTAATATCAGAATTTGCTAGAAAAAAATTTAATCTCTGTGCCCTAAAAGTTGAAAATTTGCTAGAAAACAAGGAAATTTCTTAGTTCTAAGTCAAGAATTTGCTAGAAAAAAACTCAAATTCTGAGATTAATTTCTGAAATTTTGTAATTCTTCAAGTCGAATCTTTTCAACCTTTGAATCTTGCCAACAAAAGTAAAACATTTCTTTTACATTTGAAACTATTTTAAAAAATATATCAATTAGAGTTTTTATCTTGCAAATTATTGACTTTTTGAGCTCAGAAATGTCCTTGTTTGTTTCTGGAAAGTTTCTTAGATTAATCTAAAAGATTCTGTGTTTCTTGGCAGGAATGTCCTACTCCTCTTTCTTTTTCTCTGTTTACAGCGGCCCCAGCACGCCGTCGTGCTTTGCCCCCATAGCGCTGCCTGCACTCACATGTCCCTGTGTGTCCAGGGTGTTGTTGGTGAGCTTGGCGTAGTGGAAGGAGATGGTGCGGCTCTGCCAGTGGGCCCCGGTGGCGGGCGAGTCCGGGTGGATGAAGACGCGGTCGGGCAGTCTGGCCTCTGCCCCACCGACGGCCTGCCAGCCGCCGCCTTGGAAGCGGTAGCGGGAATTATCGGCCGGGACGACGTCCAGCAGGAGGATGTAGCGGAGAGACGGGTTCAGACCCGACAGTTTCAGTCTCAGGCCCGGGAACATCCGCCTGCAAAACGGAGAAATAAAAGAAAAATGTTTGGTGTCTAGTTTGAAGAGTAAATATCTTACTAGACTTTAAGACAAAATTAGTCAGAAACAACTTTTCAACACAATATGAGTTAAAAGTTAATTCCTTAGTATTGATGAAAATGTACTTAGTTTCACTGACATTATTTCACTTATAGGAAAAATGAAATAATTTGCAAGTAGAACTGGTAAAAATTTTAATCTATATTAAGGAATTAACTTTAAAAAATCTTCTACATCTGATGAAAAATTACTTCTAAGTTAGTTTGGTCTCATGTGAAATGTTTAAAATATTTCCACTAGAAACTAAACCAAAATACTTTGTAAGATTTATACTTCTGTAAGGCAATGAGTGTCTTGCTCAGTTGTTATTCGTAAAGTATTTAGTTGCGCTAGACTAAAATGCTTGGTAAGATTATGTGTTTTTGGAGTGTATCAGTTATATAACATGCTATGTTATTTATATATATATATAAACTACCTGCTTTTTTTGTGTCACTTACACATATGACATGTAATAGATCGTTCTTCATTTTTCTTTATTTCAAAACCTAAAACTCAAAATTAAAATTCTTTAAAAAAAAGACAAATTTCCTAAAAAGTTGTAGGTTTTATTAAGTTGGACTGAGAGCACAAGCAGCTCTTTACATTGTTACTCTTAACTAGTAACTAGATGTTGCAATTTACTGACCTGTGAAGGCCTCAGAAGTTTGTTTGAGAACATAAAGTCCTTTAAAACGGTGTTGTTTTGGTGTTTAGACGTGTCATTTATGGTTGTGTGCAGAGGTGCCGACCTGCCCTTCTTGGTGATGATCATCTCGGTTCCCACTGAGCTGAACTGCTTCCATAACGGCGAGTTCTCCAGGTCCATCCTCACCTCGTCCTTTTGGGGTTTGGAGGACGACTCCCCGGCGCCCAGAAGCCTCGGCGCCGCGTCGCAAACGGGAGGAAGCAGAGGTAAACGTGCAGGAGCTTCCCTGTCTGCAAAACAAAACTCGTCAGTTTCAGTGAGAGGGTACAAGGTAAACGACTCGTCTTCCAGCTTCTCAGTTCTTCTAAATGTTTTAATTTTTGCTCCATTTGTGTCATTTTTCTGAATTTAGAAGAACTTACCTGACTTGCATGAATGTCATGTTCTTTTATCTTTCCCCTTTTGAAGAGATGCTAACACTGCAATATCTCACAAAGTATTTTTCTTCTATTTTATCGTTCAGGTTATAGTACAACTGAAATAATACAAAACTAATGTGTAAGTAACTTTAAAGTAAGTAATTGTTGTAAGTCAATAATTCTTGAAAATTGATGAAAAACTTGAACTTTTTCATCAATATTAAGGAATTATTGCATTAAAACAAGTTTCTATATCTTGCTGGAAAATTACTCGTAAGTTAGTTAGTTAGTTTTCTCTTATTTAAGGTGTGATAAACATTTCTGCACTCTGAGATGTGAAAAAATAGAGAATATGCAAAAACACAAAATATTACCACATATTTTTTGTCTAGTTTCTAGTGGAAATATCTTGGTACACTTGAAATAAGACACAACTAACTTACAAGTAGCTTCTCGGTGAGATGCAGCAGCTTGTTTCAAGCCAATAATTCCTTAATATTGATAAAAAAGTTCAAGTTCCACTGGCGCCGTTACCTAGCAACCCCAGCCGTTACCTAGCAACCCCAGCCTTTACCTAGCAACCCACTGGCAGATTATTTCAGTTATAACAATAACTTTTTCCCATGTTTTAAGTAAAATAACCTGCCAGAGAAACTCCCTTCATAGTTCGTTGTTTTAATTTTAGGCTTCATGTTACATAGGACGTTTTATGCTGCTGTTTTGTCTTATTGTTTTTAAATCGTTTTACACTTACAATGTAGAAAAAAATGTATTGTTATAAGTGAAATAATCTGTGAGCAGAACTAGTAGTTATTCATCAATATTAAAGAGTTATTTACGTAAAACAAGCTCTTATATCTTGTAAGTTAGTTTTGTCTTATTTTAAGTGAACCAAAACATTTGCATTAGCAACTAGACATAAATTCCTGGTAATATTTTGTGTTTTTGCAGTGTGAACAGGTTTTCATGCGTCCAGGCCTCTCACCTCTGTAGAAGCAGTCTCCCATCCGTTGAGTCAGACCCGGGTACATCTCCACATTCAGCATTCTCCTTGTCCTTTTGTCTCACCTGTCCTCCTCATTTACTGCACAGAAACTCACTTCTTCACCTGGCTTTTCCCTTTTTCCTCTAAAATAAGTTTCAGAGTTGTTAATTTAGCTTCTTGCTTGTCGCCGGTCTGTGTTTCTGTCGCCGTCCTTCGCTGTAAGAGCTCTCTGCTCCGGCCGGTTCGGTTAAATAGGTGTGTCTGACTTCACACCTTCGGCCAAATGGTCCTATTTTCACTTCGCTCCTCATTTCTCCTCCCTGTGCTCTAAACTTTACTTCTGCCTCTGCTCGGAAAACGTAAACATTAATGGTCGTCATGGATTTGACTGGAAAAATCTTGAGTTTTCTTAAGTCAAACAAAATGACAGGTGTGCTCTTCATTTACGCAGCAAAAACATAAAATATTACCAAGTATTTCTGTCTAGTTTCTAGTGCAAATATGTTAGTACATATGAAATGAGACAAAACTAACTTACAAGTAACTTTTCAGCAATATATGGGAGCTTGTTCTACATAAATAATTTGTGAATATTGATTTCACTTATTTGTACTTTTTCATCAATATTAAGGAATTATAGGCTTAGCTTCTATAACTTGCTGAAAAGTTACTTTTTAGTTAGTTTTGTCATTTCAAGTTTACTAACATATTTGCACTAGAAACAAATCAAAAATAGTTGGTGAGATTTTCTGTTTTTGCAGTGTAGTTGGATGATGTCATCAGTTTTAAAAGCATTTTTAGAAAACTTACTTTAAATCTGAGTTTGGCACCATCTATCTGTTAATTTAAGATTGGCCCAGTTTCCTTTGGAGAAATGCTTGAATTCAGCAGATAAAATATCTACAATATCCAAGACAGATTTCAGTCCAGAGTTTGACTAGGCCACTTTAAGGCTTCCTCTTCTCCTCTGGTTTATTGTCCTGCTGCAGAGTCGAAGCAACAGAGGAAAATTTAAGATTTAATCAATGAAAGTAAGTTGAAGGAAGCAAAATAGCCTCAAATCAGGTGATTTTTTATTGTTAAATCATGACCTCTGACCTTAACTGGGGCAGTTTTTTTTTACCTCCAGGGTGAATTATCAGTGAGCTTTTGGAATAATTTGGATTGATTGCGTTCTCTGGTGTTCCTTTAAAGACTGATTGATGCCACAGTTTTTGTTTTTCTATTTTGCTTTTGATTTTGTTTTTCAGCTCTTTCAGCCATAAAGGACATTTTATTTAAGTTATTTATTATTTCTGCAGGTCAGCTAACATCCAAAACTTGGTTTGAATTGTAATTTTAGTGCACAATATCCAGAGTTTAATAATATCTCATTAAGTTTACTAATTTAAATTTACTTGAGAAACTTTAAAAAAAAATACTTTTAGGAGTACTTTTACTTTGTTGTACTTTTTACTCTTACTTGAGGGATTTTATTAGGAAGTATTTCTACTCTTACTTCAGTAAAATTTCTGGATTTTCTTCCTACTGAATGAAAAACAAACATGTTTTAACCACCAGGCTCAGACACACACCTGCAGTTTCTGTTAAAGTTTCACATTGAAAGAAACTGATTTGGGAAATTTCTTTTGCCTGATTTTGTTTCTTTTTGTTACTTATATAAATTATTGTCATTTTTGTCATTTAAATATCAACATTTCAACTTCACTTAATATTTTGGTCCGTCTGAAGATGTAATTTTAAAATATTAAATGACTGATAATTTGATTACTCAGTACTTCAGTAGACTTTTTACCAAATACTTTTGCTAGTGCAAATATCTTAGTACATTCAAATTAAGACAAAACTAATTTATAAATAACTTTTGAGCAAGATATGAGCTTATTTTAAGGCAGTAATTCCTTTATACTGACTTTAGACTAAATTATTCCACATATAATAAGACATTTTTCCCATTTTATAAATGAAATAATCTGCCAGTAGAACTAGTACTTTTTCTTCAGTATTAAGGAATTTGTGGCTTAATATAAGCTCCTATATCTTACTCAACAGTTATTTTGTAATAGTAAGATTTTGTCTTTTTTCAATGTAGATTTTAATTAATCAAAATGTCAGATTGACTTAAATGAAATTTTCTCTGGTTATATTTAAACTTTAAGTGCAACAAAAAAGAAAACATAAGATTATGCAGATATTTGAACTTGTTGCTGTGTTTTATTCCAGATTATCCAGATTATGTGAAGCATTTCTGCATGCAGGTTGGTCTGGTTGCAGTAATGGCGGCCGCCCCCTGCAGCTGCTTGACGACACGTTTCTTCCTGCCTGTTAAACTCCCTGCAGGGGGTCAGGCTCTGGGTGCAGTTTGGCTCTCAGCTGCAGTTTGGTCTCTAGATAAACATGAGTGTCTGCAGCTTTTTATATGCGTCTGAGTTCAGGTGCATCTCCTAGATCTGGAGATCAAGACACTATTTACAGCTACCTACAACTATCTGAATGATTTAGTTTTTTATGTCAAACACCTGTCCTCGCTGTTCAGCATCTATGCTCTGTGTCATCTAGAGCTGCTAATGTAATTTAACTAATGTTGAATTTTATTTTTTTGTTTAATTTCATCTCAGAATTTTATGACTCAAGAAGAAAACTCACCAAATCTCAAAGCTTGATCCTGATTTTCATCCAGATTGATCTGAAAACCAGCTTCCTGTCTGTCACTGTGTGTGGGGGATAATTATGTTTCTACAGCTGCTTTAGGCTAACGGGTAGATAAAAGCTTTTTCATTAAAGCAACTTTTTTTTTCATCTTTAAGGGTTTTTCTGGTTAAATTGTCATTTCCTGCTACTAATATAACAACCTCTTAATAATTAAAGTTTTTGTAATTTCTTTAGTAAAAAACAAAAAGAAAGAAAAAAACTATTAAAATCAGAAACATGTAATGTAAAAAAAGAAACTGATTTCACTTTTCAGCCGTATTGTAAGGAAGAGGATTTATATGGGCCACATTTTTTCTCTCATGGTTCTGACTTTCGTCTCAGAATTTGTTTTTGTTTTTTTCCTCAGAATGAGTTTTTACTTTTTTGTTAAACTTTGCACTTTTCTCTCTCATGCTATCGGACTTTTTTTTAGAATTTGTAATTTTCTCTGTTAAAATTCTGACTTTTTTTTTATTTGTAATTTTTTTATTGGAATTCTGACTTTTCTCTCGGGTTAAGGCTTTTTTTAGAGCTCAGACTTTTTTCTCAGAATTCGTACTTTTCTCTTAATATTCAGATTTTTTTCCTCTCAGAAGTTTCACTTTAATCTCCCTTTTAATCTTCTGAAATCAAATTTAAGAATTCTGAGAGAAAAAAAATCTGATTTTTTTCAATATGGCTTAGATGTAAAATCTCCCATTTTTTAAAACAGAACACCTAATAAACAATTTTTATCTTCTTTTTTCTTCTTCCTTTTTCTTCTCTTTTCAGCGTCCCTACTTCTCTCCTGATATCTGCCAGCCCTAAGTGCAGCAGATTTTCCAGGAGTTCACGTTAAAGCAGAATGCTGTTTCCTGGTTAGCAGGGGAAAGCAAACTACCAGGCCTCATACCGAGCTGCTTCCAGCCTCCTCTGCCGACATAAAACAGCGACAGCTGGAGTCGGTTTACACCAGCCAGCTCTACGTGTTGTTCTAGTTGCTGTTTTCCTTCGCCATTTGTGTTTGTCGTCGGGGATGAAAGTGAGCGTGGCTGGAGGGGAAGCGGAGGTGCGAACGTCAAGCCGAGGTCGAGGTCGTTCCACCTTGATGGGAGCGGCGAGGCGTTCGATGGCTCTTAATGTTTTTACGGACGGACAGGTGAAGCCGCTGATGAGGACTGTTAGTTTTGTTTGTGGGCAGCTGGAAACATCAGGACTAAGAGCCCAACACTTTAACATGGATGTGTTAAATGGTTTGATGTCCACCTATGTTTGCTCTGAGGGGTTTAAAGGTCATTCTTTGAGGAATTTATGACATCCCAATCCACTGCTTGTCGTTATTTGGCTCTAAATCCTCTGAGTCGAGCGCTGATTGAACCCTTCATGCAGAAATGAGATTTCTGATTCCCTACTTTGCCACTGAACAAGCTTTTTAATCTGATCGGGATTACTTTTGGTCCTGTGCTCCATGTAATTACTTCCTTTTAGGGAAAATTTGTCAATCCAAGCATTTCCTTTTAACCCCCCACACTGTAAAAACACAACATCTTACCAAGTATTTTTGGTCTAGTTTTGTAGTGCTAATATCTTAATACACTTTGAATAAGACAGAACTAACAAGTAACTTTTCAGCAAGATACATGGTTTAAAATAAAAAATAAAAAAATACTAATTTATTTATTTTCACTTCACTTATGGGAAAAATGTCTTGTTATAAGTTTTTTAAAAATGTGAAGAATATTGAAGGACTTCTTAAATGTTAGGGAATTATTGAATTAGAATCGGCTCCTATATCTTGCTGGAAAAGTTTGCTTTGTCTTAAAGTGTATTTTCACAGAGCCAAAATACTAGAGTCAGTGTTTTTGCAATGAGATCTAAAATAAGTGATTCATATTTATGACCTGGAAGCAAAATATAAATTTTCCCTCGAGGTGAGCACTAAGTGACTGCTGAGTCTAAAGTTTTTTACATCTTTGTGAGGAAACATATTTGTAGCACAGAGCCAGTAACCTTCTTTACTTTAAAATCTAATTATATTGCCTTCAGCTTTACTTGATACGTAAGGGCCAAACCTCAAAATTAACAAATTAACATTTTTTACATCTAGATCGTTGTATTTAACAGCTTGTCTTTAATTTTATGAATATCAGTTATATTACAGATGTTTCTATTCTGGATATAAATTGAGATTCTTGTCTGAAAGTGGCAAAAGTTCATATCTGAAAATTTTTTATACAGATTAAATTATATGAAAGACACTACAAAAACACAACATGTTACTTTTTCTTCTAGGAGCTAGCTTAAAGTAAGTAATTCCTCAATACTGATTAAAAATTATTAGTTTTACTGACAGGTTTTTACACTTACAACATGGGGAAAAACGTCTTATAAGTGAAATAATATGCCAGTAGAACCGAGTTGCTAGGCAACAGGATGGGCGTGGCTGAGGTTGCTAGGTAACGGTGCCACTGCAACTAGAATGTTTTCATTAATATTGAGGAATTATTGACCTAGAACAAGCTTATATTGCTTGCTGAAAAGTTACTTTCAAATTAATTTTGGCTTTTTCTAGTGTCCTAACATATTTGCATTAGAAACTAGACAAAACTACTTGGTAAGATTTTGTGTTTTTGCAGTGCACGAAGGCTGAAGCCCCTGGATGTTGGGATTATGTCTCCCTGTGTGTCAGCCAGAAATAGATCCACTGCTTACTCCATGCATTTAAATTACAGATTATCTCCTTTATCTTCAGCTCTCACTTGCAAGATGATGTTTTTTTTTTCAAACATGCATAAAAGCTACTTTAATCAAAATAATAAAATAATGTACTTTCCATCACAGCCTGCTCTTACAAAAGAAAAGCAGCCTTTTTAAGTTCAGCAGACAACTTTCCTGTGTTTTATGATTTATTTGTAACTCAGAGTCCTTCAGACAACCTCCAGCGGGTCTCTGTCAGCCTTGGACAGCACCACCGTCACGGCGTCAGGCAGCCGCACGGCGAGCCTCTCCCTGAACACGGCCAGGAAACCGCGCTCGCTGTTGCTGTGGTCGCTCAGGATGACACTGGTTCCCTTCGCCACCGCATCCAAAACCTCATGATGGGACATCTCACCTGGAAGATCAGGTTTAATTACACCACAGGCACGAAATTATCAAGCAAACCTAACTTAACAAAGGGAATCAAATGGTAAAGATGTGGAAAAAGCTTTAAAGGTGACTTGATATAATTCCTTGAGCAGGTTAGGATCAGTCTATGGGCCAAACATGACATGTTCTTTACGATTCTTTGCACAAAATCATTCTTGTATAATGAGATTTTAATCTGGTCAGTCCTGCCTACTAAAGTCACTTTAGATCCAAATAAGCTGCTGCTGGCCACGCCCCCCAACTCCATGTTTACACTCCCACGTGAAAATGGCTGCAAACAGTTGCGCAATTATACAACTGTACATCTTTGAAAAGCAGAAGTGGAGCCTCCTGCACAACCCAAAAGAAAGCAGCAAGTAGTTTCTGGATGGTATGTCGGCAACAAAACACTTGTCTTTTCCAGCAGCCATTGTAAAGCGCATGCAGCGGTAAAACCAAATCTGCTGGAGCTCCCGTTGGGTTGCTAGGTAATGAGACTTGGCTTTGCTGGGGTTGCTAGGTAACGGTGCAATGTCTGTCAAATGTGACTTAATGTTGAAACGACTTGTTTTCTAGTTACCAAAAACACAACTTGTTGTAAAAAACTGGCCGAGTGTCTCTCTTCTTTAAGCGCTTGAGTTGTTTTAGAGGCAGTAGAAACCCAAACAGAAGAACAAAAACATGCAAAATAGGTGGTTGCTACTTCAGACTCTGTGACCCGTAACAGGAGATTTGTTTCTTTTTTTTGTGTGATAAATGAGTTTTATTTACATACTTAGTTTATTTCTATCTTGTTGCTGTTTGTGTTGTCACATGATGAAAGGATAGGAAATGTGTACAAATAGGATAAGTATCGGTCCAAATTTTCAAATTATTGTGTTTCCATGAACCATAAAATTACACAAATTGGAATTACAAAAATAACTTTGCTGAATGGAAACACGGCAATGTTTTTTTTTTTTCCAACATTAGCAGAATATTAAAAGATTTGTGGACATTTGTAATGAAAAAGCAGCTTCAGTCTCTACATCTCCCCTCGTTTGTCACAGTTTCAGTTGTTTTAAACATTTTGCATATAGAAAGATCATTTTAAAGCTTGTTTTTCCCACGTTTACCAGAAGTGGCAGTAAATGTTTGTCTACAGCTCCGGTTTGTTTCCAGATTTACCGGTGATGAAGAGGTCGGCCTGGACGCTGCTCAGCACCGAGGCTCCAGAGCCGGCACAAACCGCAGCAGTGCAGACTGAGGACTCTGAAATAAATCACAACAATAACCCATTATTATCATCTTAAGAAGACTGACTTGTTAAAAATATGTTCTTCACAGACGGTAAGTGCAATAAACAGCATTCATAGCACTGCAACATAAAAGCTGCATTTGAAAAACTTTGACACAAGCTTCTTCAGGATGCTACTCAATTTAAAAAGTGATTTATATCACTAAACTGCATGTAGAGACTAAATTTAATCAGATTTTTTAATTTACTGATATAAACAGGAGAGACAATAGTGAAAACATTTATCAGTTTTTTTTAGCATTAACTGAAATTTATTGTTACAATAAATAAAAATTATAAGAACTTTTTCATGATAAATGAACCCACCAAAACCAAAAATCTCTACAATTAGTATAAATAACTGTAAAATAAAGCATTTATTTTATATAGATTTATAAAATTAATTATAAATTAATTTATATATTTTATTTTAATTTTCAGATTAATATTTTAAATTACTTCATTTATTTATTTCACAGTTGTTTTTTAACATTGAGTGCATAAGAAAGAAAATCCAGATTCTGCTTTCTGTGCAGTAAAACTTTATATCTTTAAATCAGCTAATAAATATTTAAATGTTAGAGAATATGCTGCTTAGTGACGTGTTTGTGTCCAGTTTTCCTCGCCTAGTGTCCTGCCTGCTCCCAGAGCCAAACGGAGATTAGCTAATCCCAAATGGGATTTCATCTTCTGGATAGCTGTTGCCACGGTGACCGGCTGGTCCAAAACACTGAGCCGTCCTTGGCCGTGGCCCGGGAGAGGAGCCTGCAGGTGGCATCATAACTTTACTTCATTTTGTGGAAAAATGCATTAAACTCCATGGTTTAAAATACAGCTTGGGTTAAATCGATTAGTCGAATTAATTGTGATTAATTGATTGTTGAAATCTTAAAAATCGATTAGTCGTCAACTGAAGTTTACAGACTCAAATAAAGTTAATTTGCTGAAAGAACAACACATTCAGAGCTGTACAAAACTGTACAAAAAACTGTACAAAAAATAAAATAAAAAATAGGTAATAAAAATAACCTTTTTGTCTTTAGGAGTTCTTTTACTCAGAACTCCTCAAGTCACCTGGTTCAATTTTATTTTTAAGTCTCCTTTTGCTGTCCAATTATTAATCAGTTAATCCAAAAAATAACCAAATGATCAGCTCTACTCTGCAGATGCGTTGTTTGGTACAAATGATCAAGGTTTCACTAATAGGATGCTATGTTATTGCATTTTAGGCAATAAAATGTTTATTTTTTTTGTTAAAAAAGGAATTAAATTGTTTGCATTTTTAATACTACACAAGTGGTTAAATGAAAAAACTAGAAAATGTGGCCATTTTTCAAATCCGATTAATCACCGGAATAATCGATTGCTAAAATAATCTTTAGCTGCAGACATAACTTTAAAATTGTACCTTCTCCAACTTGAGGATGCTGAGGGACTGGCAGGGAGCGCTGTGCTTTAACAGTATCTGGACACTAGGGGTCAGTGCTGAGGCACTGCAGGTTAAGCTGACATGGATGCCGCTGCTGTCTGGCCTGTGGTGAAGCAAGAAAAGTCTTTTATTTTTAATGCAATGGACTAAGAATTATAGGTTGTTTTTTTTGTTTGTTTGTTTTAATTTGGTTTTTTGCAGCTTTGTTGGAATAAATAACAAAATCCCCACAAAGTGTATGATTCCTAACCAATAGATTAGACTGACTTTTTAAATCTTGCATCATGTAAACCATAAAAACTGCAGATTCTTACACACACACATTGCAGGATAAAGGTTTAATATTGACACTACCTGCTGCCCGAACACTGCAGCGCTGTTCCATCATCACTGGCCTTCAGCTCCTCCACAACAGCGTTCAGCTCCTCTGGACTCCTCACCATGAATTCCAGTTTGTGACTGTGGGAGGCGCCGCCGTGGGCCTGACTGAGCACAGACACCTGACCGCTGCCTGGCAGACAAAGATGAGGGAAAAAACCCAGCTTCAACTTATTTTACTGGGATTTTCTATTGTGTAGAACAGGAGCAACAAATGATGAAACGAACTGCAAAAACATGAATAATGCGAACTCCAAAAAACAAACAAAAAAAATAAATGATGCGGGAAAATGCTGCAAATTGCAAAAACAGAAGTAAAAGGAAAAGTGCCACAAAATGCAAAATGAGTATAAAAAGCTGTAAACTCGCTGCCTTTGCAGCAATTTTTTCTTGTGATTGCACCAATTTTTTTTCTTTAACACTTCAACCAGTGTTAAAGTTTGGTTGTAGTAATGGTTTTGTCATTGCACCAACTTTGTGGTTGCAGCCATTTTTCTGTGATGGCAGCATTTTTTTCCTGTGGCTGCAGCAATTTGACTGGTTTCAGCACTTTGTCTGCAGTTGTCTCAATTTTGTCTGCATCTGAATCAGTTTTCTGTTACAATTTTTGTTGGTTGTCAGTTTTTACTTTAATTTTCTATGATTACAGCACTTCCCACTTGCAGCCAGTCAAAGACCAGACCTCAAGTGAACTAAGAATCTGTGATAAGACTTAAATATTGCTATTCTTTGATGCAGTCTGTCAAATAGTTTCTTTTTTTTGTATTATTTTTGTAAAGAAGGTTTGAAACGATTTATAATTTTACTTCACAACTCTCAAAAACAAAACGAAGAAGCTTCATGGCGTCTCACCCAGTCCACCAACCAGCCAGTCGTTCACCCCTCCCTTCATGCTGTCCCAGGACGTATGCGGGGAGAAGACCGCCATCCCAGCCTCAACGGCCCGGATGGCCAACCGCTGCTTCCAGTCTTTCTGAGCCAGCCGCTTGATTGGCCGAAACAACGGCGGGTGGTACGAGACGATGAGGTCACAGCTCAAAACCTCCGCCTCCTCCATGACGGCGTCCGTCAGGTCGTTGGTCAGCAGGACGGTTTTGATTGGCCGAGGTTTGCTGGGCTCCACCAGCAGGCCGACATTATCCCACGATTCGGCCAGAGACAGAGGAGCGAGCTGCTCCAGAACCTGCAGAACCTCCTTCAGTTCCATTGGGCCGGCAGAAACCGAGAGGCGGCGGGAGGAGGGAGAATGAACCGAGGAACGCAGAAGAAGACCTGAGGTCAGTCTGCTCCGAGTATCGGATGAAGCTGAGGGAAACAGAGCTGAAGTGTTAAAGTTTGAACTTTTACAGATTAAACGTCTTCTGCTTTTCAGAAAGGAAAAAGTCCAAGAGAGATTTCTCCATCCTGGCACCATCAGTGGAGATCTGTCAGGACAAAAAGAAAAGAAACACAAAACAGCTGTTATTTTAATAATACATAGCTCCAACCAGTCTGAACTGGAAGTGATCTGCGCCATCTTAGTAGGCAAAC